GGAGCACCGATACCACCACGGTGGGAGGGCGCATAGATCGGAGGAAGTCGAGACCTCGTTCGACTGAATGTCAGGTGTCTAACGTGTCACCACCGGAGCAGATCGTTGGCTCGTAAAATGTAGTGGTAGAGACGTACGGATTGGATTCATTTCACTTCCTTGATGACAAATTCCCCCTTTTTAAGCTCGGATGCTGATTTTAAAGAAGTACTAAATATAATATCGCGTCTCTTGCGAAGCATTGGTTTTACCCTCTTTACTACGCAACAACATATGGCACTGAGCATCTTTTGTCTAGAACAGATCGTCTACACAATCAAATGCAAAAGCTAAAGGCAATACATCTTCTTTTAGTCGGTGGTAGATTATGAAGTGATCTCCAAATCCTTCCGAATCCAATCCTCTATCCCATGATGCTAACCACTGCTAGTCCACACTACTTAAAAACTTTTCAAGTACCATTAATTTTACTCGTAAAAGTAAAATATGGGTTTATTTGGTGGGGAGAAATTCGCAGAGCAAGCAAACATTCATCGCACAGAACTAAATCCTCTATACATCCCATGTTGGAGATGCGATTGGAGCGCGGCGGCAGCGGTTTCGCTATGAAATGTATGCTCCTCAAATTTTGTCACCACCTTTTCAAAATTTCAAGCTCTTACATTTTCGTAGATTGTAAACCAATCTAATCAAGGTTTTGTTTCGCTACCTATAACTTTCTACTCAAATACTTTGAATTTGAGTGAGACACACATCGTAAAAGCTACCGCCTTTCAGTAAACATTTGTGTTACTATCCCACCTCCCAACTGTCACTGAAATTCATGCGAACCGGGATGGTTGTTGCACCGCACTGCTTACGGCTCTCCGGTTGCACTTCAACGAGGAGATGTTGACGTTAAGGTCCTTACGGTATCAAATATGCACCGTGCAGTTACAACCTGTGCGCTGAGGGACTTGACCTGGCGATAGTCCTGTGCCAGGAAAGGCCAACACCTCGGACCTCACTGCGGCACAGATTTGCAAGATAATCAGAGCCATCAAACGAATTGTTAACTCTTGCAATACTAAAGTGAAGTAGCCGAGGAAAGGCTATTTTACTTGCAAAAATCGCCGATTCAACAGATTACAAAAACCCTTTGCATTGGTGTCATGAACCACCCAAGCATTGTTTTATTACTTGATCAGGTTTATGTGGAGACAAAGCGTTGGACACGAGCTAATTCTCATGCAATATGAAGACAAGAAAGACTGCAGTCCGACTTCTTATGTCGCAACGCTAAACTTTTCACTTTCGACTGCTTCATTTTAGCAGCCGACGTCTATGCACCAACCAACGAAATGAAGATTGCCATTTTATAGAAAAATTTTTTGACAAATGAAAGTACGTCTTTAAGGTCATCTCATTAGAAGTTAAAGAAGACAACGAAATAAGAGTTGGCAGAGGCGCTTAGTTGTTGCTATTCGAAATCCAAGTTGAAATCGAATTAGTTTATTATTCTCAGGGTAAAACCAAATGCTCAAGAAGCGCTTCCGAATGTACGTAGCTCTTTTTGCTTTCAAGACACAAAAAGGAGACATTTGATGGTTCGCAACAAATTTTTGAGTTGCATTACAGATACAGCGATTGGTTGCACGTGTGAATCGCATCGGCCACTGCCAACGCTCCACCTTCTGGAAGATACACAGCCTCCCTCTCATCTCGAATCCCAATTTTATTTTTTCGCGGATCAGGTCCGATGGAGGAAACTTAAAGTAGCGCTAAATCATGCACTGATTGTAGTGTTTGTTCTCGCCATGCAAAACTAGCAGCGAGCGCGAAAAGGAAAGAGCATTAAGCACAAATTTAGATGGATGGTGGCGTTGCTAAACTGAGGGAATACTTTGTTTTGTGCTCAGCATTCCTTGACTTGGTCTGAATTTCAGCAGCAGGACACATAACGACATAAAAATGCTCCTACAGTCGGTACAAGGTCGTTACCTTCTGCAAAATCCCAAATTTGATATTTGAGTCCCCGAGTGGTGGGATGGCAGACTCTAAAAGACTGCATGCTGTTTTTGAGAGAGGTCGCAGACCCGATGGAGAGCGGTGAAGAAAATAGTCAAGTCGTCGCCTCATTGTTAGAAGGTCAATCGTCATATTATGAGAGAGGATTAAGTGTCACTAAACCATAACTTGGTAAGTCTTTATTGATGCCTCCTACCGCCAAAAGTGTTTACTTCTCCGTTAGTTTGGGACGCAGACTTTCCTAATTACTTCATGGTATGGTCTGAAAGTTGTTTCTGAAATAAAGTGAATGCATTTAAAACTTCTTTAGTAAAAAGCTAAAAGAATGAAGTAATTAGTCACCTCTTCATTCAAAACGAACCTTTTTAGCACGTTAAGTGGTCTAAGCTTAGTGGTGGCACAAGAAGTTTCAGCGCAAAATGAAAAGCTTAACTGTATTTCTACTGGGTAGAGATATAGCAAACCTAAATTAAGGCATATTGTTGTAACCGGTGAAATTAGCATCAAAATCAGCGCATATTAGGAAAGAATGAGCCCAACCAAATGCATACAAGCACACATATGCGTTGATAAGCAAAATGCACTTAACACGAGGCAGGAGGAGCGAAAACTGGCTCCGCACTGGAGTCTCGCCATCATCACGGGTTAGCTGTGACGGTAACGCCTACCCGCTCACATGCAGGCGAGGCTGGCATCGACGACACTGCGTGCACAACCACGATTTGGTGCATTTCGATTGCTCACAGAGGTATAAGATAGTGTGATAGCAACACTTTGCTCACTTGCGCTATTGTCAGTAACTCGTAATCATGACGGAGTACACTCTAACTCATTTCCATGTCGGTAAGTACAAGAAGAAGGTTAAATTGAATGCTCAAATGACCAAGGAATTGCAAAAAGCAACCAAGGCTAAGCCTAAAGAACTAAAACTGAAGCTCACAAACGAAAAAGTGGTCTTTCAGAACAAGAAGGATGAGCTCATACTTGCTAATATTGAAAAAATGCGCAAAAGCACGGATGAGATGGTTGTAGTAGCCGCCACGAAGCTGGGCTCAAACCCACCTGGTCGAATTTTCGCTATGAGATTCTCTAATTTGGAGGCGTTAAAGGAATTTTTTGACATCGTTGACCGTAAATCTAGAGGTGAGGAAGTAAAGAAACCCACGCCGAAGGACTCTGTACCAACCTCTACCCCAGCCGCATCGGAAAAGCAGACACGAACGCCTTCACGCATGCCAAGTGCATCCAGGCAGAGCAGTTCTGAGATGAGCTCCACTACGCTCCCTTCAAACCTCACCACTACGATTGATGATGGGCTCAGCTCAACAACTAATCCTCAAAAGGGAAAGCGATCTTCAGTGTCTCAGTCCCTCTCCCGACCTGCTTATACACCACTTCCTCAAAATCATTCAAATTGGGGAGCTACCACTTATGTGACGACGGACGCGTTGGACAAACGCAGGGCTTCTAGTTCCCCCAAGCGCAAAGACAGGATGTCAGCTAAAGACATTTATCCAATAAATGAGAAAATTATGAAGAAAAAGGGTAAGAACAGCTTTGAAATGAGTATTCTAACTTACGTGCCGGGCAAAGGAATGGTGAAATCGGACAAGGGGAATGGGTACTTCTATCACACAACGAAACGCAATGCATCCGTCAGTGAAACATTGTCTTCAACTACATCAACGTACTCGTTGACGTCAAAAACGGATTCACCGAGGAAGAAACAGCTTCTACATAAACCAAAAGCCAACCACTTAAGCAGCTATTCTTCAAGCAGTCGTAGCAACGATTCGAACAGCAGTTCTAGCGGCAGCAGCAGCAGCAGCAGCAGCAGCAGCTCTTCCTTACCTTCGTCTGTCATTCTAGCTGAGAACATGAATATCTGGAAATGTCGTAGTCAGACCACATTAAATTCATTTTCTTCCTCGGGGATTACGGAGACTATCACATTGGACGAACCCGATGTTCGAAGACCGTCAAGAACGCAATCAAGTGAATACGTCAGGTGCCCAACATGTCACCAGCGCACCAATGTTATGATTCGTAGGCAGTAGATGGAGATGCGACTTCGAGGTACTGATTAAAGCTTACCGCTTTTATTATTTTTGACTTTAATCATCCAATACATCATCCTGTTGGAAAGAAAAGGACAATTGTGTACACTTTTTCAAAACCCACATTTTACCACGTGCAAAGGCTTATTCCTACGGAATGACAAACCATCTTTCACTTGTGTGGACTACCCACCTATTAGAAAAGTGGAATTTAGTGGCACTACATTAGTGCAGTAAGGGTATTGTTACTTTTTAACAAGGAAAATATAAAACAGATTTTAAGACCAAGGAAATCGTGCTACTGACACTGTTTTCAGTGCACAAAATATTGACGAAAATATGTGCCTGTCAAAGGTTGTCACTTGTGACCTCAGCAACGTAAATACGTTTCCACCATCACCGCAAATTTGAAAGAGGGTGGTAATTGGCCGCAAACATGTAAACGGTGTAGCGTATTGTGGATGCCTCCATCATGAGTAAGAATTTACTAACAGGAAAAGTTTTGCGATGGAAATCATTTGATCCCGAAGTAGTTTTAATCTTTGATCCGCCTTTAGAAATAAGCGATAACTCTCCAAGTTTGGAGCACTGGGGTTGAGTGACCGTTTGTAAAGCGAGGTGAAGAGGAGTGTCCGGTAAGTTGAACCTAGACAACCACCCACTGAAGAAGAATTATGCTCAAGCAGGTCGCTCCCTCTGAAGAATGCGAAATGTTGCCAAATTACAAATTAAAAATGAACTAAATTTCCATGCCGATTAAGGAGTGTTGCAGCTTTTCCCGCAGCATAGCTCGCATTGTTTAGCAAAGGGCTAGTGCAAAACACCTTGGCAGGCTTCTTTGCATTACTGCGAATTTAGTGAATGAAGTTTGGTAAGTGATGTTGGGCTTGATGCGTCGGCAGGAGCAGAACTGGGATTGAATTAGTGCTTCAAAACTTTACTAATTATAGTTGAGTACTTTGAAAATTATTTTGAGATGAAATAGCTGATGTTGACGAGTTAAGTTAAAGAGGCGAGCAATACGTGAAGATGAGCTCCCGGAAATTTTTAACTTTTCATCACAAACAGCGGCAGAGTCCTTTGGAGAGCACATTTTATTGTGCTTACAGTGACGACTTATAACGCTAGCCAAGTAAAAAAATTTAGAAACTATGGTATTAAGCTTGGATAAATGTTGGCGTTTTTTTAATGAACAAGTGGTTAAATTTCGAGATGGATGAGGATTTTTGACTCTCATGGGTTTTAAGAGTCAATTTTATGAACGGGCAGCTTTACCCATGACCCGCATTGAATCCTTGCGTCCGAAAGCGTGATTCTGTTTCCCTTTCTCAGTCGTGTATTGTGACTGCTCTCAATCGTTCTGCGGCTCCCATCACACAATTCTCGCTGGTTCAGTTTGATATTCTTCGAGTAATTTAGCCTTACGGTTGGACACGACCTGACAACTTCCAAATCGTGCATAGCTGGTG